TATCTGTAAAAATATTAAAATATTTAAAGAAATTTAAAGAAACTTAATTTTACTATCTGTTAAACTTTAAACTAACTACGTTCACCAATTGCTTCATCACATTTTTTTGTTTGATGCCTAATATGAATTTTTAACATACAATTTATAGAGTATTTTGTACTTCTTCATTGATAATCCATTTAATGCATTATACTTGATAATGACAGACACTAAAAAGTAAGTCAAAATAAATTAGAATAAAATCTTATGTCAAAAACTTCAGAAAATGGCTTGAGTGTCTTATATGCATGATACCACTAACTGTACAGTTTAGGAAAACTGTATTCTGTTAATGATAATGGAACGAATATTTTCTTAAAACTAGTATACCAATTAGCGATAGCTTCCTGTTTTAAAGTTTAAATATCTGATTTTACCATGCTATTTTACTATTTAAATTCTACCTCAAAATTCTTTAGATAATATTCAGTGAATGATTCTTTTCTGCTCATTATATACATTTTACTGAACTTTGCATAAAGTTCACAAAGTTCAGCACAGGTTATTTAGTCCCAGTTATTAAAAATTTCATCTAATGTAAAAATTGTGATTTTCATTATATAATGATAGTCTACAATAGTAACTACTTTTAAATATCCTATTTTACTTAGAAGTTTAAGACCAAAAAGTGAGGAATTTGATGAAAATATTCATTGAACTTCTTTTGCAATTCTATTCCTTCAGCTCATCTTAAAATATCTTGTATAAAATCCAATTAATACTTGAAGAGCCTAAGATCAATATAGTGCATTCAATCAGATACACAAGCATTATAAATATTCAGATTTCTATAAAAATTATATATTAGTTAAAATACTTTACATTTTTTTAGAAAGAATTGCAAAAATATCAATATTTACGAAAATTTTCAGAAAGTATTTTTAACAAAATGCATAGAAAATTCTTTTTTGCGTCCACTTTTTATAATCTTCTGCATATTTTTATGAGTTCTAAAAAGTATATTTTCTGGTTCAAGATCTATGTTATTTAGATCAACTTGCGAAACTATAAAGTTATAATATGACATTTTACATCATCAAGATTTATATATTGCAGTTACTTTATCAGCTTCAAGCATATTTACGAGAAAAAATAAAATCCATGTGATAAAGATCATTTTACATCTCTTAATTTCAAAATATAACGCATTAGGTTTTTCTAATAAAGGTCAAAGCATAATTTTTAAACATTTGTAATATATTTTACACTGTAAACTTTGAAAGGCTTTGTTAGTTTTAATTCTTGTATCTTAGACCTTGAGCAAAAATCCTATAAGAACTTTAGCTTCTGGAGAATTTGCATCCAATTTGGAATGTTACCAAGCATCAAAAATACAGGATGTCCTAATGTCTTTCCAAGTCTATCAAAGGTTATTGCATCCAAATATAAAATAATTGATAATAAATGATTTAGGAACGGAAGAGTATTCTTTATTTCTAACTACCGGTTATATTCGAATAGTTTCTCAAATATTCTTCTACTATCATCACCCTTTTTTATGGTTTTTTTATGAATAAAATTATTAGCCACTTTTGGGCATTGCAAAAGAATTTGAATTATACAAAAAATTAGATGATAATAAAGTGAAAACTCAATATCCTAATTAGTTAGAATAACCTTCTCTTTGAAATTTAATGATGGTAAATTTATTTGATTTAAGAAATCTTTGTCACTTTTTGTTAAACTTGATAATGGAGATTTTCTAATGCATTATGTTTATTAAAAAATTTAATTATTTTATCACCAATGCTATTAGAAATATTTTATTCTATAATCAATTTCATAAAATTACGATATACTTCATTTAGCCAATTTGCTACATTTTCTAGTAAATTTTTTTCTTCATTAACATCTAAAGCATCATTTAATGCTGTTCTCTGAAGATATTTAGAATGTATCTGATTCTATAACCCATACTCTTTTTGCAGATTATAGCGTGATTTACTCTTCAAATCAACTGCAATATCTGCTATTTTTTTATTCTCTTAAGTTAAGTTTTCGTTAAATATTATATTCTCTATCCTAATATCACCATTATTTTATGATGTAGACTTTTCTTGCAAAGTAACTGGAATCAGCATTGTAATTAGCGTATTCTATAAATTTTCATTATATTTAGGTCTTTTTAATTGTAAAGATCTTTGCCAAACAGGTTTATGTGATTGCAGAGTTCCTTGCCGAACAGATTCATTTTGTAAAGAAAGTAACGTTCTTCTTTGATATTTGCGTTAGCATATTGTATCAAACCACCAGGAGACGAGAATATCTTTTTGCAGATATTATAATAATATTCTATCATTTTATAATTCAATATATATATTTAATTAAATTATTATATTTACGAAAGAAATTATTTACAAGGCATTTTTTTCTGATATTTAAGTAATTTTAATTGTACTAATTTTAAATAATTTTAATTGTTTTAATTATTTTAATTATACTATTTATATGTTATTATCAGTATTTAATAATATTAATTGTACTGATAATTAATTAATTATGTTTATAATTAAAAACAATTGGACAAATTAACAATAATTAAACAACTTTGATATTATTCAGTGATTAGTAATTTGATTTTTTTAAATAATGATATCAGGTGGTTAAAGTATTTACAGTTTTTCAAATATTTAAACCATGAATTTTTTTGCTTTATTATTTTTTTTTAAACTTTCAATTTTTTTTTACAAATTTTTAAAATTTAATTTATCCTTTCAAACTATTGAATTATACCAAAAAAGGAAATCAAAATCCAAAGAAGAGAATATTACATGATATTTTAGAAGAAGAATATAGCAAAATTATATCTCTTAGATCTAAACAAATACAAAAAAGAGCTGCTCAAACTATCAGAAACAAGTTTTCCAAAATGTTATCAAAAAGTAACTAACCAAATAATCTGATATCTTTAAGAAGCAACTTCATCTCTGTCTAAAGGCTCATTGAATAAATCTACTGATTTGCTAAAACTAGTGATAATTAATCGTGAAAAATCAAAAACTCTATCAAGAAATTTCTCAAGAAGTTCTTCAAAAATTCCATTGAGAAATCCCTCAAAAAGTTTTTCAAAGACTCCATGAAGAAATTCCTTAAGAAATTCTTTAAAAACTCCATCAAGAAATCCCTCAAGAAATTCTTTAAAGACTTTGTCAAGAAATCTCTCAAGAATGATTCTCCAAATCGATGACGAACATAATGATAATGATTATTTTAATAATTTGCAATCATCTTCATTAGCATTCTTATAATCTAATAAAGAATACTTGATAAAGAAAGAATTTATTTATGTGATGACTATGCTAAATAAAAAAATAACTGCAATTTTTAAGCTCTGTAGATTTATTAGTGACCAACAACAGAAAGATACTATATTGATTCAAAAACTTTTTACAGTCGATGAACTCTCTGATGATTTTGAAATGTAAGGTTTTTGTTATCAGATTTATTTTTTTTGATATTATTATACAATCATTATATCATATATATAATTAGAATGTCAATATAAATATGTATATTATTATATATGTTAATAAAGATATCAATAGGATTTTTTATAAATTTAAATTATAATATTAATATTATATATAATTACAAAAAGATAATCATCAAGTATTACATTATTATCTTTTTTTAACATATTTTATATAGATAAGATGATAATTTCATGTATTACAATAGCATTATATTAAATATATTGTATAAAATTTACAAAGATATGCATTATATTATAAATGGTTAAGTATATCAGTAAATCTATCTGCATGATCTGTGTACACGACGTCTTTGTATTACTGTTAACATATCAATTTGGTTGGATGCATTTTTTTAGGTTGAGTTTGGAATAATCAAATTATTGGTTAAATGATCTAATTCTTTTACTTATTATAACGTATAATGATTATCTATATTAAGGTTGGTTAAACAGGATACTTCATGTGTTAAATGCAAAATAAAAGCTTATTTTAAAAATATCTTTAAAGGGTCAATAATAGTTGAATAATTAAATAATTCATCTTCTTTAATAACAGCCAATTGTGTAAAGAAGATATCTTTAAAAAGGTCATTGGTAATATATAATAATATTACATCTTCATTTGGTATCGTATCAATACTTGAAATGCTATTAAAATAGTTTAATAATAATTTAATTATAATTTATACACGGTGATTGAAGAAATATACCTGTTAATCTTCATGTATTTCTCTGTATAAAAACTAAGATCATTATTAAATTAGGAACAGTGTTGTGTCATATATTCCAATCTATATCATTTTAAGAATTTGATATTTTCATTATTTTTTTCTTGATCAGGTAGCAGAATTTTTGCAATAGCTATAATCACAGCAGAACCAGGATTTCAGCTTCTTAAGAACAAGACTTTTATTTCTTCGCACATATCAGAGACATGCTCATTAGTAACCTAGATTAAACCAAATTTAATAGTAAATATAATAAATATAACTATTACAAAGATATATATATAATGAATATGAACTTACTCCAGTAATTTCTTTATTAGACATATTAAATAAGTGTTCTCCTATTAATATTATTGTTGAATTTATTTCAGGTGAGAGACGATGAATTTGATTTCTTTGTATTTTCTCTCAATCACCTTTATCATTATAATAGCATTTATTAGATTTATTCAATTGTGTTTGATCATCAATAATACTCTCTTGACGGCTTTTAAATTTATTTGATTGTACTTGATTATTAATAATCTCTCAAAAATAAGTTTTCATGTTTAAACTATAAGATTTTGTAGGTAATTTTCTTAGATAATCATTTTTTTCAGTATTCAATTCTTTAAGAGTCATTTGGTAGGTAATGATCTAAAATTCAAATCAGATTGATCATCTTCATTATAATTTTCATTAGTTGACCTAATAGATAAATCTGGATGAAGATATTCCTTCCTGTTTAATAATGACCGATCAGATGAATTAAGATTTTGGTATTAATGATCCTTCTTATTTAATAATAATCGATCAGTTAAATTAAGATCATTTCCATTTTGATCATGATCCTTTTTAGCTTTTTCTTTTAAAAGCAGTGATTCAAGAGCATGTTCTAAATCATCCCCTTTGGTTTTTTTTAGAAAGTAACAAGATAAGAGCAGATTTAAGATTATCATCAAATTTGTTTTGTTGAATATTTGAAATTTTGTCTTAAACAAATACATAATCATTTCTGAAATCTTTTTTGGATGTTCTTGATCATTATCATCCTCTTGAATATTATCAGATTTCATAGCTTTATTGTAATAATTAAATTTGTATTTTGATTTATAATTTTTAATAAATTTTAATTCATAATAAAAATCTTTCAATTATTCAATAAATTAAAAAAAACTTTACCAGAAATTTCAGCCTTTTTTGTCCTTCGAGTAGCTTGTGTATTTATTACATTGAATTTTGTATTAGTTGCCTTAGGCATCGATAATTTTGGTACCTGTTTTTTCTTTTATGACATATTATAAAGAATTTCGCATATACAGTCAACTCTTTCTACAACGAATTTTGATATAACGAATTTTACAATACAACGGATTTTCATTGTTAGACAGATT